CAAGGGTCAACGAAAAGGCTACAAGAGCGAAGTATTTGTAGATGTTCCAGGTTATTGCTACATTTCATTACTTTGGAGTAAAAATTAGTGGCTCCATTGGCAGGTGAAGTCGACCGAAGAATTGCTTTTGGTCAATTGAAAAGGTTTGCATGGAGGGAATTACAATTGGTTACTGACGACTTCAACCAAAAGAATATCCTTGGACAAGGAGGTTTTGGGAAGGTTTATAAAGGCGTGCTTTCTGATAACACAAAAGTTGCAGTTAAGAGATTAACTGATTTCGAGAGTCCTGGAGGAGATGCGGCTTTTCAACGTGAAGTCGAGATGATAAGTGTAGCTGTTCACAGGAATCTCTTAAGGCTGATTGGCTTTTGCACAACACCAACCGAACGCCTTTTGGTCTATCCATTTATGTAGAATTTAAATGTGGCCCATCGCCTTAGAGGTACTAGCTATTCAAGAATTTCATTTGAACATGATTTTGTTACATGTAAATTAAGCACTTGATCTTGAGATTTCTGAAGAAACTAGTTGTTATATACTTCATTTATACGGACCTTTGTATGATGTGTGATTATTATATGAAACTGCTGCAGAGCTCAAACCGGGAGAACCTGTTTTAGATTGGCCTACAAGAAAAAGAATAGCCCTGGGTGCAGCACGCGGACTGGAATACCTTCATGAATATTGCAATCCGAAGATCATTCATCGCGATTTGAAGGCAGCTAATGTATTATTGGATGAAGACTTGGAAGCCGTTGTTGGTAACTTTGGCCTTGCAAAGTTGGTGGACGTGAGGCGGACAAATGTTACGACTCAAGTTCGCGGGACAATGGGTCTTATAGCACCCGAGTACTTGTCCACCGGGAAGTCATCAGAAAGGACCGATGTATTTGGCTATGGGATTATGCTTCTAGAGCTTGTAACAGGTCAACGTGCAATCGATTTTTCACGCTTGGAAGAAGAAGATGATGTTTTGCTGCTTGATCGTGTAAGATAACTCGAAATCTATTACCATGTTTGATTTTGTATAATGCCCTAAGCGCACACCTTGACAAAATTTCTTGATGTTTGTGAAGGTCAAGAAGCTGGAAAGGGAGAAAAAACTGGATGCTATCGTAGATCGGAACCTTAATAAAAATTACATCATCAAGGGGGTTAAGGCAATGATCCAAGTTGCATTACTTTGTACCCAATCTTCACCCGAGGAGCGTCCAGCAATGTCGGATGTGGTGAGGATGCTGGAAGGAGAGGGGCTGGCTGAGAGATGGGAAGAATGGCAGCATGTCGAAGTTACCCGTAGGCAAGAGTACGAAAGACTTCAAAGGAGATTTGAATGGGGAGAAGATTCATTGTATAATCAGGATGCGATCGAGTTATCCGGTGGAAGATGAACATTTCTGTTGTAAAAAAGCATAGTATCCTAGCTTATTTTAGTAGGTTAGTTAAATTTGATGTTTCATTTTAGTGGAACAAAAAAGGGCATCACATTGTTTTTATATATTCACGATGCATTGTTTGTTGTAACTCTCCGTTTTAGCATGTTTTATTCAGCGATTTCTTGTTCTTGTTCGTGTTTATTGAATTGAATCTCAACATAAATTTGAAAGAACAATTTATTGTCATAAGAAGCTGACACTATAATATGTTACAACAAGGATTGTAGGACAAATTAGCAGATCGAACAAGGATTGTAGGACAATTTTTTGTTCTTGTTAGTGTTTATTGAATTGAATCTCAACATAAATTTGAAAGAACAATTTATTGTCATAAGAAGCTGACACTATAATATGTTACAACAAGGATTGTAGGACAAATTAGCAGATCGAACAAAACATTTATGTAATGGCGATTTTAATGTTACAGGAAGGCATCATGAGAAGGTCCCAACACGTCTTGCAAACTGTAATTCTCAACAAAACCAAACCCATCAAGCAAGTCGTCAAATAACCCATCTTCCAGACAATCTTCCTTCTCCATCGAATCATCTTCGTACATGCACGAAAAACCTTTCATCTTCTGATCCTCCTCAGAGACGACTGCAGGCATATGCCCTTCGAACAACGATATGTGTCCGAAGAGCTTATCTTTCCTGGAAAACCCATTACCGCAACTACACTTCCACTTCTTAACCTCTACCCCAATGCCACAATGCTTCAAATGAGCCTTCAAATCGCTCAATACCGAGAAACACTTCTTATGACACCTATTGCACCTATACATTTTCGGGCAGTGGCTTCTCTTGAAATGATTCCTCACACAGATTACCGATTTCAATGGCCTGAACTTGGGATTCTTCTTGTTCCTATTACACCCATCGTATGGGCACGAAAACCGGGTATTCCAACCCGGATTCTTCACTTCCGATTTCTTGGCCAACGCTTCCGGAGTTTTGTACTGATCTCCGTGAGCCCTCATATGCATCCGTAGATTCGCGTCGCGTTTGAAACCTTTACCGCAAATTTCGCAGAAATGTAAATGTTCCGAGAGCAATTCGACGGCGTCTAACTCGATTACCTCGGAATCTCCTTCATCGTCTTCGTTGAACTTGGGTTTCGGTTCCGGAATCGGGTTCGGAACCAGAATCGGATTGGGGAAATGAGCTCTTTCGGCGCCAGAGAGAAGAGCGGCACCGTTGACGATGATCTGGTGGATGGCGGCTGTGATTTCCGAGGAAACGAAATCCATTTGATGTTCGGAGATCAAAGTATTGGTGTTGACCGATTTAGAGAGGAAATCTTGTAGTGAATCCATCCTCGTTTTGAGCGTCGAGAGGTTTCGGAGTGGGACACGCAGATCGGCATCGGCAATTGAACCATGTTGCCGGACAGAGGGAGCTCCGGTTCCGCGAAATTCCGGCGATATTCGATAAGGCTCTACGGGATTCGACATTTTTGTTTTCGGCGAATTGAAAGTTTTGATAAGGTCAGCTTCCGAGAGAATTAAGTACGAAAAAGGCTTTGGTATTGAACATTGAAAAAGACACGAGGAAGCAAGTTGGAAACACTCCAAATGTTCGTGGAGATTGACGCGTGTGAATCTCAGATCTTGACCGTTCAAAAAGTTGCGTTGCCGCCATGGGCCATGGGAACCTATTTGGCTTCTTATTTGATTTTGCTCGACTTTTGCCACTATATAATTGGTAAAATACACATTTAGTCACCGTTATTTTTTATTTAGGTAAACTACTTTAAATATCACTCACTTTTAGGTTCGGGCTCGTTTATGCCACTAACGTTTCAATTTTATCAATTTTAACACTAACGTTTTAATTTAACTGTAATTATGTCACTTTTCTGTTAAGCCACAAGACATCTCTTCGTCGTGACATTGTTGACGTGACATCTCCCATGAAATTATTAAAATTTTCAAAAAAAACCTAAATTCATAAAAATCCAAAAAAAAATATAATCCCTAAAAAACATAAGATTTATTTCTTAGAATGAATTTAGGGATTAACAAAAAAAATCATAAACTCTAAATCATAATCCTTAAAATCATAAAAAAATCATTCTTTAAAATGAATTCGGGGTTTACTAAAAAATCATAAGTTCCCTAAAAATGAATCTTATAATTTTTAGGGATTATAATTTAGAGTTTATGTTTTTTGGGTTTTTTAGGAATTTTTTGCGATTTTCTGGAATTTAAGATATTTTTGAGAAATTTTAATAATTTCATGAGTTTTTTAGAAAATAACTTTTGACTAATGTTATGTACATTGTGTTTGTAAGATCTTATTAAAAATTTAAGTTGACACAACGGCTAAGTTTTAACCTTTGTTTCAAAAGGCCTGCAATACTAAATTTTTTCAAATAAAATTACTCATTAACAATGGAGTAACATATTTGCAATTAAACTTAAATGTTAATGTTAAAAATAACAAATTGAAAAATTGAAGGCAAAAACGAGCCCAAGCCTAAATGTGTTTGATATTTAAAGTAGTTTACCTTTTTATTTTAATCACATTTTTAAAAATATATATAAAATAATAAATAAACTTATTGAAACTAATTTCTTAGTTCGTAACCGTCATCAGGAGGGATGATGTGATAGGTTAACTCAATAATTGAATATCTTATTTCACTCCTTAAGTATATCTAAAATTTTAATTTAATACATTCAATTTTTAAGCAATTTTAAAAATAGCAAAGAACTCTAAAAATATTTTTAAAAAATTATAAAAAGGAATTATATAATTCTTTAAATTATAAAAAAAATAAAGATTATAATTATGCATATCTAGTTGATCATGTGGAATATGACACTAGATCTCTTAAACAAAGTCAAGAGTTCGAATCATGGCATTTACGAATGAAATAAACTAATTTAGAAAGATCACCCTCATCTTTTCAATACTAGATCCGAATTAGTTGATTAATAAATCATATACTAGTGGTTAACCATATATATATATATATATATATATATATATATATATATATATATATATATATATATATATATCTAACATTTAAAAAAGATTAATTTACAAGAGTATCAATTATCATAACTGAATCCAGTTTAATAAAGCAAAATCCAAATTCAAATGATACTAAAAACAATTAAATTAATCTAGAATTCATTACATTATAATTTTCAAAGAAATGGATGTTCAATGCAAATCTAATACTGATTTTTGAGGGACAATAACAGTATATATTAGTAATAATGCTTGAATATGTATTTGGTACTTAAACTATACACATTCTTTCAATATGGTATTTCAAGAATTACATTTTTATACTTTTATTTTTATTTATATAAATGTATAATAACGTTATTTTCATATGTGCAAGACTCACTCATAAATAGCAGTGGACAGAAAAATAATAAAGGGTGCAAAGAAATGCTTAGTTCTTTCTTTATCTTTTAAATTACTTCACAATCACATACATGATTATTCAATTCACAATTCATACAATTTTGCAGTGTTCCAAAAGGTCAGAGACTTGCATCGATGCATTGGTTCTTTATATTCCCAATATTAAGCACATACGATATGGATTCTTCATTTGCATGCATCTTAAAATTCATTTTAACCCTCCCATTAAAACTTGGGAAAAACAACTGGAAACTATAATAATTGGGGTCAATCTGAGAAATCCCCTTACCTGCCTACAGGTGTTATTAGGCTTCCTTCTTTTTGACTCGGTATGGATATTTCTGGTATATTGAAATGCTACTGATGACAAGTGGAAGAGCCACGAGACTATACGTCGATGGTGGTTTTCCTTCAAACAGGAACTGCAGCATCGCCGTTACAAGAAGTGCTGAAACAACGACAAACCCCTGCTTGCATTTGAGGGGGGGAAATTACCATCATAAGTATTATTGAGAAAATGGTATGTGGTATAGAAACTAAATCCAAACAATCTGTGTTCTTAGAATTCAGATACATAGAAGGGGATAAGTTTCATCTCTGCATCAGTGCCCCTTATTGCCAGCAGGTGTTCTAGGATTTCAAGGCACTTTGCCTACATTACCCTTCATCCCTCTTTGATTTCAATACATGAATTCATAAAATTAAGCGAGGTCAACGACTTGAAACTCATAATTTAGTTTACTAGATGATGCATGCAACTCAATAGCCCCCTTACCAACATGCACCTATTTAATCATCAATGTACCCTTCGATATCCCATCCTGAGTTTTCACTGTATTAATTTGATGTAGTTAGGCTTACCTTTGTTACACCACCTGCAAGGCTGGTGATAAGGCCAACAAGAATCCCGCCAAGAGCATTGGCTACAACCGGAACCTGAAAAAGCAAGGAAAAATTGAAAATAGTCTTGTTTAAACTTTAGCGTGCATGTATCATGCAAGTTAAAACACAAAAGTATCACCGAAATAAGCTTATATTCATCAATTATAGAGAAATTATGTAGTCTTAACTAGTAAAGTTCCCCACCCAATCTTACACTATTCTTTTCCTACTTCCATAAACCCAAGAGCATCCCCAATTTTATCTAAAGAAATTTTCAAATAAAATAAGATAATTACCAAAGTCAGTGGAGTCCAACCATAAAAGAATCCATGGCGTCTAATCGCTTCTCCATCTGGAGACTTGGAGATACTAGCCAGTAAGCACAAGCTTCCGACAGTAGACATTTCTATAGTCATCAAGTATGATGAGTGTTTCTTGACCTAATAAAGAAAACCTTAAGGGGATAAAAAAAGATAGACAATCCTATATAATGTGTTAATTTAAAATAGAAAATAAGCTGTTTCTTACCTGAGAAGCCCATTGACACAATGAAGAAGCCAGACCGGAAAGTACAGAACCAACTAAAACGGGGACAATTCCGTAAAATAGAATTTGCTCGGGGTCACCACTGCTAGAAGCTTTGCTAGAACCTTCACCAATGCTTAGAAGAAGAGCTGCCATTATCAACAAAAACAGAGCCCCAATTTGGTGAATTGACTGCCTCTGCCTGCATGGAAACACCACAAATTAAGCAAAATAAGCTCACATATATCCTGAAAATAATTATTAGAATGGAAATAATAGGATGATGCTTTGAGTTGAAACAATACCACTTTGCAATGTAAAAAAAAAAAGTCATGAAGAACTATAAAATTCAGAAAAATACTAGACGAAGTAATCCTTTGCAACTCAAAAGAAGACCAACAAATTGGTGAGTTACAGTTAGTGAAATATACAAACATCAACCTAGTTTCTAGCTTTAAAACAAAACAGTTGATCAATACTAAAGAAGATGAATCATAGATAAAGAGCATTTTGGGAAGGATACCTCAGTATGATAAATGTAAATAAGGCAGTAAAAATTATTTTTGTCTGGTTCAGCATTGTGAAAGTAAGTGAATCCAGATTCCTGTAAGATATCTGCAACAAGCTGTTTTGAAGAGCATAAATCGCTGCAGGAAGACCTGATGCAATAAGTGAACCAATCAAAGTCCATTCCTTTGCCAGTTTCTTTAAGCTACCATCTTTCACCATGAGCATAATGGCACATACAACCTAGTATACATATTCAGAAGTAAACGATCTCACAAACCCAAATTCTTAAATGCTAAAAGAACCAAAAGCATATATTTGTTGTAAAATTACCTTGGCTACCTCACATGTCAAGACTGATGAAGTTACAATTACTTCCCGACTGGAGAAAAAAAAGAAAAAGAATATGAGTTAAAAACTTGGAAAAGAAAAATGTTCAAACACATTCCAGCAGGAAAACAAACAAAGAAGTTAGGTGTCATTTATGATCCATATACATACTATGCTACTCGGATTCAAGTATGAAAAACCGGACAGAGGTATGCATGGATACGTTCAAGTGTTTCCGGAATTTCCGTGTATTTGAAGGATTCATAGAGGATCTTATCTCTATATCCATATCCAAATAAGTAACCGACAGAGGTTCTACACGAAAAATGAACAAATAATATATATGTGCGCACTGAGCAAGCGCTTGGATGTTTACTACCATTATCAAATTGAATTTGATAGTTCTTATGACTGTAGAAATACACAGGCAAACCTAGATGAACAAGCTCTCTAGAAGTTTCCAATTTCAAGAAAAAGAAAACAAAACAAAAACTGGGAAAAATCATGAAAATCCAACTTAGCAAAAAGATCATGGTTAACTAAAATATTGCAAAGCGGTTCCTCTTCATCAATTACTATCTTTCCTCCACAATCCAAACCAATGTTTCGAAATGATAATTCAAAAAATAAATCAAAATAAATAAAACCCAGCAGTTGATTGATTACACTCCAAATCAAAAGGCATGGAATTAAACAAAATAAAACAAGTTAAAGTTTTGGAGCGAAATTACAGTTACCTGATGAAGCGCTTGGAGATGAGAGGTTGTGCGCCGTATTGAAGAGTGAGCAAAATGGAGTAAAACCAAACGCGTGAACTCATTTTGCCTGGAACCGGAGTAGATGCTTTTGGCTTTGGCGCCGCCATTATTGGCGACCTTCACGAAGAAGCAAGATCTCTTCTGCAGCGTTGCAAAATCGATCCTCCACTTACTAGTCTGATGGTTCTTTTGGCGGATGACAGGGATTAGATCAGAGTGTGCTCTTTTTCTTCCCTTGTTTGGCGTTGGAGAAGGTACTTCTTGTCTCGCACAGGCAGGGAACCACATTGAGTTTGGGACAGGCCCTTGCCGCCCCAAAACCTTTAGTCTAATAGCAATTGAGGTCCTCTCAATTTAAATATCAGTTAAATTAAGGACATCCTTTTCTTTACTTTTGAAAAGTATATGGGAGAAGTGGTTTTATTTTGTTTATTTTAAATTTTGTGTGTTTAGTATTATCGTTAAAAATAGTGATATATGTGGTTCGGTTTAAATTTCTATATATTTTTAATAATTTATCTGATTTTCGTTAAGTTAATTTTGATTTTTTATATTACTTTTAATTTTTTTTAGATTTTGTATTTAATTTTGATAAAATAATTTTTATTTTATGACTTTTAGTTATTTGATAAAAATTTTAAAAATCATAAATATTTTTTAAGTAAATAAAAATTTAATAATTTGTATATTGTATTTTTTTTAATACACAGACAGAAAGAACGTAGAAACTAAGCCCGATTCAATTTTTAAAACTAAATAAAAAATTAAATCTGATTCAATTTTGATAACCATGAATATTAAACTTGTTAACCATAAGTTTATACCTGGCATGTCTCAAATGATGGGCAGCACATATGATACCTTCTAAAATGAGGCTCTTAAAATATTTTATAATAAAGATTCATTTATCAAATATGAAATTATGGTGGATCTACGAGATCTTTTTATCAAAATTCATTATGGAAACAATTAAAGATACAGTCAAAATATTCGTTTGTAATTTTCTTTGCCACTTTCAACATAATCAAACGAAAAATTTATTCTCTCTTCAAACGAAAACATCGTTAGGGCGCAAAAATTATACATCGACGAACTCGAATAGCATTCACACGTAGAATTCTTATTTTGAGGTTTGTCACAAATCACACATGTAAATGGACGGATATCGTTCATACCAATGTATTGTCCATTTAAGGATTCAACGGGTTAAGCTTGTACGTAATTATGGGACTTTTGTACTTTTTTTAAGGGTTCCAATCCCTCACTATAATTTGGTTCTTTCGTGGAATGAAATGATTCGTTATTGTTAAAAAATGAGAAAAATGTTCATACCAAAACTAGAAAAAAGGAAATTTAATTGCGTTCAACGTACTATAAAGAAAAGGTTTAACTGCGAACACACACAGTTTCAATGGCAAACCTTAAAGTTCCATCTCATGTTCCTTCTCCTTCTGAGGATGCCGAGCAACTTCAAAAAGCTTTTTCAGGTCTTTTTCATCACTTTATATACGTTCTAATTTGAATCATTCATCAATCTTTTAGTTTTTGTTTGTTTTACAATAAGATGATTTTCTTTTTTTGGGTTTGATTAGTTGTTTGATCACATTGTATTGGATCATGGATTTTTATGTATTTTGATTGATCTTGGGTGGTTTCGTATTTTTTGTTCATCGTGTTTGCTATGATCTTTGAAAATCATTCATACAACGGTTCCTTTGATTTGAATATTCATGGATTCCGGATCTGATCACTGTTGTTTTGGTCCGTCAGCGTTGGATCACCATCTAATCTGCATTTTAGGTGGAAGATCATTTGGTGTTAATTTGAAGACCGAAAGGATGTTTGGAGCTTTGATTATATGTCTGGGTAATGGTAGATAGAATGTTCGACTCGGATATCTTAATTTGAATAATCATCGAAGATCATATCTACGTTACATTTGTATCGGACACAAATATAATTATCAGACACAAATATTTTATGAAAAATGAAGTCTAAACATTCTTATTGCGAGACCATGTATCTTCTCTCCATCCGTATTTGAAAAATGGAATTAGACTTTTATCTGCCATTTGTATGCTGAAAGAACATGCCAAAATGATGAACTGTTTTTCATATTCTTTTGCAGGCTGGGGTACGAACGAGCAATTGATTATCGACATAATAGCTCACAGGAATGCAGCACAACGCAATTCGATCGGGAAAGCTTATCATGAAGCTTATGGGGAAGATCTCCTCGAGTGCTTGGGGAAGGAACTTACCCGTGATTTCGAGGTGAGATTTCGACATACATTTCGACGTTTGGCAGTGGCATGAAGTTTATTTTATTGTAGTTCTGAATGTTTTCCTTTTTGAATAGTTTGAATGGTTACAAGATAGTATCTATTTAGAATTTTCTAAATGTTTTCTTTTACTTATCGGAATTTTTGCTTTGTTTTGCCATTCAACAGCAGATTGTGCTGCTGTTTACCACGGACCCTGCAGAACGAGATGCATATCTGGCTAAAGAAGCTACAAAGAATTCCTCATCCAGCCATTTTGTTCTCATGGTAATAGCTTGCGCCAGGTCTTCAAATGCACTACTCGATGTGAAAAAGGCATATCACGCCCGTTATAAGAAATCCCTCGAAGAAGACGTTGCTCACAACACCAGCGGAGACTACCGCAAGGTTCCGACTCAAATACCATCTCCCCTGCTCTTATCATTATCATGTTGAATGCTTGCTCATATTACTTGCTTCGTGCAGCTTTTGGTATCGCTTGTTAGCACCTTCCGATACCAGGGAGAGGAGTCGGACATGTCGCTGGCTAAATCTGAGGCTAAGACACTTCATGAAAAAAATCTCGGACAAGCAATACAGTGATGAGGAATTGATCAGGATTCTAACTACAAGGAGTAAGGCACAGCTAAATGCAACTCTGTCATTACAATACTTCATTCGGCAATCCTATCAACAAGGTAATTATATATGCGCTCCGATTTATCATATTTCCGAGTATGTTATAGCTCAAACTGATATGCAAATTCTGGTTTGCAGGATCTGAAGGCTGATCCCAGTGATGAATTCCTCAAATTACTGAGATCTGTTATCAAGTGTTTGACTACTTCGGAGAAATATTTCGAGAAGATTTTACGTCAAGCACTCGATAAGTCGGGAACAGATGAATGGGCTCTTACCCGAGTTGTGGCAACTCGGGCAGAGGTAGACATGGTACGTATCAAGGAAGCATATCAGCGAAGAAACAGTGTTCCTCTCGATAAAGCAATTAATTGCTGGAGATACTTCTGGGGACTATGAGAAAAATGCTTCTTGCCATGATCGGAGCCAGAGATGTCTGAACTGTTTCCGGTTCCTTCGTAGGACTAATGAGTAGCCTACTTTGCCTTTTTCAGCTATGGTTTTGCTTAGCAATGGCAGGTTCAGTGAACGGAAGATAATGTAGCTGGTACTGGTATAAGCTTAAAACGTATGGGTGTCTTTATCAAGTAAATAAGTTTCACACAACTGGAACTGGATTGATCGGCTATATTTTGGAAATTAAAAATGGGTTAATTTCACTGGACGTTCTCAAATTCTTTGATTTGTTTTAAATTGATTTCTAAACTTTAAAATGTTTTGATTTAGTCCTTTAAAAGTTAGTATCTTTGCATGATATCGAAACTGAACATTTGATTAACATGTGATAGATACTTACATTATTAAAATTGATTAATTTGTTTTAAGATTATTTGATGCACTAAAAGTGTATTAATTTAAATATTACTGATAATTTAAATATTCCACATCATCATAAAAATTTTAAAATTAAAATTTATTTTTGCTAATGTATTTTAACAGATAATGCATATAATTATATACCGTCACTATCAAATATTCATCCTTTAAATAAGATTTTAAATATATAAAAAGTAATTAAATATACCCATAATTAACACATATCATTCAACACTCGTTCTAGTATAAATCCAAAGTATGCCATAGAGAAATATTATTAAGCTCCTCGGCGCTCTTCGAGGATAACAACACTTGGGAACATGAACGGTCAACAGCACATGAAGGCAGTGCATTTGGCGTAAGCTTTACCCTATTTCCCTTGGAAAATGGGGTTCAAAATTCAGTGGCTTTAGTGCCCTTCCAGCCCCTGCCTCCTGCATGTTGTCCTATCATCATTTCGGACAAATTCCGTAACACATTTAAAGATTTTGAAAGTACAAGACCTAACTACCAAGGGCCTCTATTATTCAACAGCAACAAACAAAGTTGGTCCGGAGATCATGGCAAACACTAAGAAACACAACAATGGAAATTGTTGAAATAACTCATTAGCCAACCTCAACTGCCTAAGGTTCGAATCTAAATGTTATACTCTAACAACGTATTACATAAGCCACTTCATAGTTAAAACATAGCACCCCAAAGTGGGGTGTAAAATAAAAGATACAACTGGTACACAGGCAGCTAAATATCAAAGTTAAACCAAGGAAATGCTGCTCTCACCACCAGGGGGCTTTCGTGAGCCACCGAAAAAACTCCGAGATTCTGCCTTCCCATCAGAAAAGATGTCATTGCCACTCATTTCTCGCAGTTTAGCTTGGCTCAACGGTTTTTCTGCAGAACCTGGAGGAACATCTCCCTTGAAGATACCGTTACCAGTCAGCTCTTGAAACTTTTGGTTATGTATCTTTTTTGTTGCCTCCACAACGGGTTCATCTGTGAATAGGATACTTGTCTGACCTCCTGCAGGCTATAAAAATTGCAAAATAGCAGTTATATAATTGATGAAACTTCAAATTCAGGATATGAAGCAGAACTCTAGGACCGAGGGAATGATTGAGTTGCGGAAGACTGCAGGCAGGATAAGCTTAAAATTAAACTTAATGAAGGAATTCATGTAAAATGGGGAGAAAACAAAGTTTTATTTGCTTGACATAAAAAGGTCGGGTTTAATACTAAATTTATGTGAAACATGTGCTTATTCCCAATCTCATAAGAATGTAAAAGCACTTTGTCAGTTTTTAAAGGGTTGCACTCTACTCTCATTTCAAGATTTTGAGGACTAACTGCGTTTCGCCTTTATCAAAACACAAATTTAGTTGTGATGTGGTGCATCTTGGAAGTCATTATTCCGAAAGTAATGGATATAGTGTTAAACAACCCAAAAGAAAGCAGCTAGCAGCCAAACCGTCCTATGATCTAGGTTAATCAGACTTGAGGATGTGAGCTGGATGCATGAATGTGTTTAAATGGGTTTGCTCAAATTTTGTAACATTGTCATAGATCTGGAGGAACTTACTGGTATAGGACACAGGTTTACTTCAAGAACAATGAAGAGTTGGAGTAACATAGCCCAAGAGTAACTTTTATACCAAAATTTTGACAAGACACCTAAAAGATAGAACTCACATTTGAAACTTTGACAGATGTGCGGATATTTCGTGGCGCAGGTTCTACCATGTCTTTGCTTTCTCTTGATTCAGTGGCGGCAGCGGCCAAGGAACGTGGCTTAATTTCAGGAGGAGAGGAAAAGATGTCATGTCCGCTGATCTCCTTATACTTTGCATTCGATATTTTTTTATTCTTTGCATCCGATTCGCTTTGCAACGAGCCACTTAACTCTCGCTGCTTTGCTACCTCAGGTAGAGAGGTAGGCTTCTTGGGAGAAACACTTGAATCAGCACTGAATGATATTTGGCTATTCGTTGCTCGCTGAAAATAACACCAGAGTTTAAAACTGTAAATTTTCGTAGACAACCAGTTAACAATCACGGTCATTCCCCGGAGGGAAATCAAACAGATACCTGATGCATGCGCACTCCAGTTTTGTTAGTGGAGTTAGTGGCAGTAGTTTCAGATGCACCATTGGCAGCAAAAATTCCACTACCAGTCATCTCTTTCATTTTGTAACCCGAGCAAGGCTTCCTGAAAGAGCAATAGTGAACATTTCCAGACGAATTCAGATGAACGAGCCACACATCTAAACTGGCCCCTGATGAATGTACTATTACATTACAACTCCATGCCAGAGTATGAATGAGAAAAACGGATTTGATTCACACAACAGACTCAAGCAAAGCCACGAAATTCTTAGAACAATGCATAAATATTGTATAGTTAATCTACAATCCAATTAGCAATATTAATTGAGAAAAGAAAAAGTAGGATCTTGAGCTAGATTAACACTGAAGACACTTAAAGTAAATATTCCAAATGCATAAATTTAATATAAATTAGGTGATTTAAACAGCTAAAAAAACAGATCAGAGATTAATATCGTGATACAAATCAAAACAATCCCAAAAGAAGATGTAACAATAGATAGATCTGGTTAAATCCAAAAGAGAAAAGGACGAAATACAAGATTTTATATTTTATTTGAAAATCAAGTTCAGATTTCAAACTTTTAAAATAATGAAAAAAGAAAGCACAATCTCATATTTAAAAAAATAAACATTCACAGGCTTACAGCTACAGATGGAAACTTTCAAATACAATTTTCTTTTCTAAAAAAATAGAGCAAAGCTGAAAATAGAGAGGGTTCGTACTTGTTCAAGAGAGATTGAGCTTCGTCATCGGTAACCTGACCTCCAAACAGCACTTTACTGATTCTATCAGACGGCTGTTATTCAATGAATTACTCGTAAAATACAGAAAGAAAAATGTTTATAGAAAAAGCATCCTGCATGCGTAATCATATATGTGAAGAAAACATAAAATAAATATAATAAAAATAGGCCACCTGATTGTAACGACCAGAGGAACGCTGGCCGGAGTTGGAGGAGACAGCTTGTGCACCCTCCGTCCACGTCAGCAGATCGGCGGTTGAGGTGTGAGGCTTTCGCACCGGCGTGCTTTTCTCCATTTTTTTCTCTGCTTTGATGTTCTCTGAGCTGAAAATTTAAAAAAAAAAAAAAAAAGAGTTTCAGGCTTTTCGGTCTTTGGAGATATTTTCTCTTTTGTTTGTAAATGACGGGAAAAAGCTTTTGAAAATAGAAATAAAAGGTAGACACACAGGTCACAGTGAAAACAATATATGTCCAGCTGGAATGTTTTGATTGGATAAAACTAGTTGAAGAAACTGAGGGTAAACCAACATTTAATCACATATTTAACAACTTTCTTCCAATTTGATCCTTAATATTTTTTATCCACATTAGTCCCTCGACTTGGAAACTTTTTTAACATAGTCCACGACACCAAATTTGGATTGTTCACCATCAATGAAGCATTATCTTCCTCTACTTGTTGCAATTCTGATTCAATCAATACCTGTATTCTTGCCGTTGTTCCTGGTTTCTGGGATACATGAAATAGAAGAACAAGTAAAGTGTCATAGCAAGTGATGCACTATTCTTCCAATCCGACTCGATCTCTATCGAGTCCGATGATCTTTTAGGTGTTGGTCTATAACCATAAACGTGTGAGCCAAAATCCTTGCTACGAGAGGAGCAAAAGATGTCGGTATAGACTCAAAAGACTGATCCGATGCAGAGATGATTGTTCGGGACTTCTTGGCTATGATCTCTGCAAATATCAGATTGTCCTCACGATTCATATCACTGACCTTGCTTCATTTATAATGTCATTCACTCGTGATGAAAAGAATTGTGTGTAACACGTTCTTTAGCCATGTTATCGCGATGGGAACAAGGCAGATCGTTAGCAAAAAGGTGGACTGGAGTACGAACTACGACTCACTAATAGGGGCTATCTTTCTCGAGCATGAAAACGGCAAGGTGGAGGAGATTTCGATCGAAAGAGCTATGGCGGAATCAGGTGTCGGAGTTTGAAAGGAGTAGCTACGGGATGATGGCAGCTTAGAGTTGTTGGTTGGAGGAATTCGAATTTGGATTGATTCTTTTCGAATATGTTGTTCACACATATTTCATCGTAAAATTTTAACTGACAACTAAAGAGCCCGGATGAATGAAAAATAAACATTATGTTTACATAAAATTTTGAAGAGCTTTTATGAGAAACTGAAGTTTGTCACTGCAGCCTTTATAACAATTTAGTTTCAAATGAATACAATGTGGATTGCCCCAAGCTTCAGTATAACATGTTTACCACTGTCCTTGAGAACTAAACCTGGTAATGCAGAAGAGATTTCTCTTCATTATCATCAAAATCAATGCTACAAATTTCACCCCTTCCGTTCTCATTCATATACTCAAAATCCGTAACACGAATTTCGGATTCTTTGCTGTTTGATGGAGCATTATCTTTCTCTAGTTGTTGCATTTCTGCTTCAATCAACGCATGCATTCTTGCTCTTTGCCGGTCTCTCGGATATGTGCAATAGAGGAACGAGTAAATCGAGCAACAGACAGCCATTGGAATCCCGATTGCCATGTAAAGTGCCTTAGCAAGTGATGCAGCATTTTTCCGTTCTGTCTCGATCTCTATCGAGTTCGATGATCCTTTCTGAATTGGTTTATAACCATAAACATGCTGAGCCAAAATCCCTACTACAGGAGGAGCGAAAGATGCCAGTATAGACTCGAAAGATTTATCCAGCGAATAAATGCTTGTTCGGGATTTCTCTAATATGATCTCTGCAAATATCGGACTGTGCACACAATTTATATACCAGACAATGCTATTAAAATGCAAATCTACTATGCAGATTGAGATGCAATCAAATTTATGTCCAAGTTATTTCCAAGTTAGTTGATTGAAGACCAAGAATACATACTTGTTGGTTGCTGAACCATTCCAGGACATGAATAATCCCATGATGAAAAGAACCAGGCCATGCATAACTGCAGTGGAGGGATCATCAGGTAATATGAGCAGTAAAACTGCGGCTATCGGGATCGCAGAACTCGTACTTATCTGCGACAGAATAATTCTTCCATAATTCGGGAAGCGTTCTGCTAGAACATCTCCCATCTTTCCCACAAAGAGACTACAAAGTGAACACGAAACCATGAAAAGTGTCATGATTGTCGCTGTCGTTTCATGTAAGAAGCCAATTAGTTCGAGCCACATCGGAGCAAATGACAAAGCAGACAACGGAAATGCTCCTGAAACACCTTGAGCAACAATGATTTAGAAAGTTGGTATTCTCATAACAGAATTTGCTTCATTTATCATGTCCTTCACCTGTGATGAAAAAGACTTATGTCCAACATGTGCTTTGGCTACATTATCATGGTCTGAAAACCGTGGATCGTTAGCGAAAAGACGGACCAAAATACCGACTACAACACTCATTATCCAAACCAGATGGAATGCAAATCTCCAGCCAGGTATCCCCATGATAGTTTTTCAGGCAATAAGGACGGAACAAAAGCTGCGGAGGATCGCCCTGAAGTTTCCGGTCAGGTTAAGCCATCCAAAAGCCATACCGCGGTTAATATCGTCAGTTGAATCAGCAACAAGGGAATTAAGGGCTGGTATGACAATGGCAAGGCCAACCCCATTCAAACCTCTTGAAATTGCAACCTAATTCGCCAAAGAAGAGAATTGCTAATAGATTATGCACCTGAATATGCCAATGTATAAGTTCCTTAAGGTTACAACTTACAATAATAACTTCCCATTTAAACAAACAATATTTGGCTCAAACAAATAGTCATTCATTGATAACATAAAACAAACAAAACCGAGAAAAGAAACGACCAAATTGAAGAATTTATGTTTCGCTCTGGCTTCAAAAATAAAGTGATGGTAACCGTATCGACTCATAAGTCAGGGTATTTCGCAAACAACATCAGCTCTGATATTTCATTATAAAAAATCAACCCTTAATATGACATGAGATAAGTTTAACGGGCTCTCCAACGTGGCGGTCAATAGGATGATCTTCTTCGATTTGATGGAAGAAAAAGGAGTTTAGAGCTCAGAGTTATTTTTCATATATTATAATATTAATTGAAGCGTTGGTCAATAGGAAGTTCAACGGGCTTTTCAACGTGGCGGCCAACGATTCAAGTAAAAGATTAACGGGACTGGTAAGTTTTTATCGCCCCCACGCTAATAGTGGAGTGATCAGTTTATTATAATTTAATAATATAAATAATTAATTTGTTAGTTTTAAAATTTTAATGAAAAAAATAAAAATTTACTCAAACACGTAAATTTTAACTTAATCTGAATTTATAAAATTAAAAAAGAATAATACTCTCTTTGACTATTAAAATCACTTAAAGAATTCAAAGTATTATAATTATTATAATACTTATCTCTATATTTATAATAATTACAACATTACTCCATATATATATATATATATATATATATATATTTCAATTCTCTCTATCTTATCAAATAAAAAGAAAAATCAAAAAAGTCGAGACATGTGAAAACACTAATTGTCAAAGTTATAAAATACAAAAAAAAAATTAAATGGATAAACTAAAAATAATGAGTGAGAAATAGGATGGGCAGTATAACTTTACAAAGCAATTGGGCCTTAAAAAGTGAATTTGGCTGCAACCGGCCGACACTCCATTATTCTATTTTTCTCAGCAGTCTTATCTTTTGTTTGTGTTCTAAACCCTATATTCAGCTTCGACATCTTTGTTAGAGGAACCTTCAGCAGCGGAGCCTTGAAGAAACCAACTGCAATTATAAATAACAATGGTGTCAGGCAAGAAAACGGTGAATACCCTTCGTGTTCTGCTCTTTCATTAGCTGATCTGTTATCACAACGTGAAGAAAAGGAATTTGAAATCAATTTTCTTTTTGGATTTAACAGAAGAAGACCCATGAAAGCATCAACAACAGGCTGGCTCTCGTCATGAAGAGTGGGAAATACACTCTTGGCTATAAAACAGTGCTCAAGTCCCTCCGGACCTCCAAAGGTTGTTTACCTTTTTTTAAATCTGAGCTCAATTTCTTTTCCGTGTTTTTAGTTTTTAATCAGTTGGGTTGCTATTAGATTTTTAAGATGTTTTGTAGTGAAGAGTATTTGGGGTTTTGTTGATATTTGATAGGGAAGCTGATTATCATTTCGAACAATTGTCCACCGCTGAGGAAATCTGAGATTGAATACTACGCAATGCTTTGTAAAGTTGGGGTTCACCATTATAATGGAAGTGAGTCTTTTACCCCCTTCTGAATGTTGCTTTGCGAAGACCTTTTTTATTATTATTTTAAGTGTTTGTGACATGCATAATTATGGTTGGATAGAGGCTGATTTTGATTGTAGTGTCTTCCCTTTATGCTAAATTGACCTCTTTAGTGATTTTGTGTGATTGTTTCCTTTGTTGAACTTTGTGTCGAGTCGAATTGTTTGAGTGTGTTTTTGATGAATTATGTATATCTTTAGCTTGTTAGTCACTGAATGAAACACTAAGGGTGCGTTTGGTTCACGAAATGTAAGATTACCAGTGGAAATAAAAGATTACTAGGGAATATGATTACTGAGAATGTTGTATTTTGTGTTTGGATGGTTTAGCAGGAATGTAAGATTATCGTGTTTGGTTAAAGGAATAAAATATTATTGGAATGTATATTTGACCAAATTGTCCTTATTATATATTTGTATAATATTATAAATTGTAAAATATATATATATATTTTCTTTAAAAATTAAATTCATAATATTTATATAATTTTTTTTTACAAAATTAAAAATATAAAAAAGGTTTAATGAAATGGTAAATTTTTTTTAACCCATGAACTTCATATAAAATTTTAATTATAGATTTTTTTTGTAAATCTAAAATAATTTAAGGATAAATTTGTAATTTAACCTTCGTAGAATTTTTATTATTCAATGACAGAAGAATGATATTTTTGAAAAAAATAAAAATTTAAGGGTATTTTAGTCCAAAACGCCGGTAATGTTATAATACTTAAGGGAAGGGAGGTAATGACATTCCCGATAATATACCTCAAAAAATCTACTATTGGTAATAAAACATTACCGGGAATGAGATTCCCGGCCAACCAAACATGGGAATATGGGATTCCCACAATCCTTGAACCAAACACCCTCTAAAACGGCAAAAAAGAAAGGTAAGTGTTGTGCTCAATGTTCACTGTATAGATGATAGGTGAAGTTAGTGGTGTTCGCTAGATTGGCCTTGTGACTTGTGTGATTGTTTCCTTTGTTCACCTTTGCATGGATTGGACCTCTCTTATAAGTGTGTTTTTGGTGAACTGGAGATTTATTAGCTTATTACTAACTGAATAAGAAAAAATGAGTATTGTGCTCAATGCTAAGCTTCGATATAATAGGTAATGTTAGTTGGTTGCCTACCCCCTGTCATTAGCTTATGGCTTTGAATATGTCTTAGACGAACTTGAACCTGTATTTTTGTTAACTTATTGCTTTGAATATGGTTTGAATATGACTTAGATTGATCGATTTCCTTTACTGGTTTTTTTTATATCTGATCTCTCTTTAATTCTCCAGACAACAATGATCTAGGAACTGCTTGTGGGAAATATTTTCGTGTATCCTGCTTGAGTATCGTCGATCCCGGTAACACCATATTTAAATTGCGATAATTGCTTATCTCTGCAATTTGATCATTGCAGATTACTAAAGTTCTTTTCTTGCCTCTATCCTGCAGGTGACTCCGACATCATCAAGTCTCTACCAGGCGATAACTGAGTCAATGAAGGTCAGGTTCTCTACCATTTGACAGCATAATGATGATGTTTCTTTACATTTTCACTATATTGTTTTGCTTTGCCCTCACCTGTTTTTGTTTAAGAGGATTTGGTATTTTCTTATTGTTAAGTTGTGGATGTTGCTAAAATTTGTAGCTTGAATACCAATTTTTTTGTTTTGATTAATGAGGATTCTGGATTTTAATTACAATGTTGGCATCGACTGCATCAACCATACATCCTTAGCTTAATGATTCAATAAAACCAATGCCAAATTATCCCGAGTTTTCTTGAAAACCCTCATGGTAAATCCTGCGGAGCAATTATGAATGAGAACGGGTAGATCCCTAGAATGAAATGTTTCGAGAAAACCTCCATGGTCCCTGAAATGATATTGGCTCCCCCACTTGCACCAACCACTCCTTTTAACTTCTCAACCAACCGAGAACCAGTTTTCCACATGGATCGGATTATGTTTTTTTAAGTCATTGGAGCGGTAAACCTTCAATACAATCGTGGGTGTCATAGATGTTAACAGCTTTTTTTTGAGGCGGATGAAGTTTGGTGGTGCCAGTGGAGGGGGTACTACCGGAGCTGTTTTTAGGCATGAAGAAGTCATCCATTTCATTATTGATTAGTATTCCAGTGCTTGGTGGCAGTATTTTCGAACCAAAGGATTGAGTCATTGAAACAACATTGAGATCTTTGTCGACAAGGGATATATGGCTCGTGCTATGACCATGAACTGGCTTCACCATAATGTTTGACAACATCTCAAAGGTAATATTTACCTTCCACCTTAGTGAGCGGGGCCAAAGGTCATGTTGTCATAGATTGTGTTCTTCAACTTCTTTGCAAGAGATCATATTGGCTACGACTTTCGAAACATTGACGAATTCTGATCACCTAAATTCATCCTCGCACCAATAAATTGAGAAAGAACCTCAAAAGACAGTATCATTTCTTTTATGATTGTTCTCTAAAACATATGGATTTGTAGCTAATTTGGATGATAAATTATCAAACGGTAAAAAATATAAAATAAAGGAAATAGAAAAATGAAAAAAAAAAGCTCTTATAAATGTTATAAGCTTGCATTTGAAGATCCTAATCGTTGATAAACTCCTCTTGAGACGAGTAGTATCATATCATCATTTGGGCTTGTCTAGCGACGAAGAAGATTACATAACAAAAGTAGAGTTTGAGTTCGAGGTGTTTTCAAGTTAAATAAATACTAAGTTTATGTTTACGAGGATGGAATGAATTTGGTGAGAAATTTTAAGATTTATATTCTATAGATAATGCTGGCTGATTGCAACGATTATTCACTAAAGCCTGATTAGATAGAGAAAAAAGAAAGAAGATTTTATAGAGATCACAAATGATATCATTTTGATGTAAAAATTAATTTTGAAACTTTCATTCTTTTGATTTTGATTTTCATGTTTTAACATCGTTAATTATTAGACGAAAAGTGACCAAAATAAAAATAAATTTAAAGACTGAAATTATTTTTTTTAAAATTTTAATAATCATAATAAAATGAGATTAAAGTTGACGGATGAAATTTATAATTTATCCGAATGAAAAAGAAAATTCACCCGTGAGTAATGAGTTGTCTTCCCCAAAAAGATATAGAAACATGGCATATTTCCGTTTCCTGTCTTTCCAAGAACTCTGCATTTCCATATCGAGCAGCAGCAGCAACACCACAGTAGAGAAGAGAGAAAAAGGGGGGAAATGTGTCCTTGTTTTGCTTCTTCTTCTTCCCCTCTCTCTCTTTCTCTCAAACTTCTCCTCCTCTTTTCATTTATTCAGGTAAACCTTTAATCTCTGCTTTCATTTTTCTTCAAAATCCACCGATCTGTCATCTGTGGCTTTTGATGCTTGAGTTTGATGTTTCAACGATGGTGAAACTGAGATCTACAGCTCTAGAAGTTTCTACTGTGTTAGATTTAACTTGATCTGCTTTCTTTGTAGCTGTATCTTTACTTAGCTTGATCCGCTTCATTACATTTGCGATTTATTCATAGATCTTACGAGAATTCGTGTTTTTCATTTATTTTGAACTTGATTGTGGACTAACCTTCCTGATTAATGCTTTCATCGTGTAGATTTAATGCGTTCCAAAGTTAATTTTTTCGAGCTTAAACAAAAATTATAATCTCGATCCTTATTTCTAATTGATTTAATTTCTTATCCATCGAATTATACAGTAGCTTGATTAGATTCTCTCAAATGAATGTTGCCTACTATATTAATATTTAACTATTACAGTTGTTTGCGGTGTTTCGTAGATAGCTAAGATATTGTACTCTTCTATTTTCTGTGTTTGAAGTTGACTAAGTTTTCCTGTTTTTTCTAATTAGAGAAACTAGAACTTGATTTGTCAAAGTCTTTAAATTAAACTTGTTTAGATTAGTTGAAGAGCATAGAATACCCGTTGACATTTGATTTTGCTATACTTACCACCTCGATTCTTGCTTGTAGTATTGTTAAAGATGGCCGATGGTGAGGATATTCAACCCCTTGTCTGTGACAATGGAACCGGAATGGTGAAGGTTAGTTTATAGACTTGAATAAACTTGTCCAAGATTTCAGCCACCTACCTTCAAAGGACCACTTGAAATTTGATTGGGTTGGACCAAAATATTAAGCTTGAAAAAATGGTCTGATCAAAGAAATTAGGTCAATTTAGAAAATGAGCCAAGTTAAGGCTCCTACATTGTAGGCCCGAGCCTGGCCAGACCTATTTTCAAATTTTATAAAATATTGAAAAATAAATTATAATACTATAATTTAAATATTTAAAAATGTTAAATTGTCTATGTTTAAAAAAACTATGAGAAATATTTGAAGTTACTAAGCATTAAATAAATAATGATATTCTTCTTTAAAATTAGAAAAAAATAATAGAGGTTAGCCTAAATGGGCTTGGGTTAGCCTTAACAAATATGGGTGGATTAGGACAATTCGAGGCTTATATTTCAGACTGGGACAAGCTTGGGCACATAGAAATGATGATGATACCTTACCATCCATAGCTACACCTGGCCCGACCCATGGATGCATCTATACCTAAGTTATATTCTCCGTTACTATTATTATATGAGAACTATGTTATGGTTGAGCTGATTGTGTCTGTAATGCAGGCCGGTTTCGCTGGTGATGATGCTCCCAGGGCTGTTTTTCCCAGTATTGTTGGTCGTCCCCGACACACTGGTGTTATGGTTGGGATGGGTCAGAAGGATGCCTATGTTGGAGATGAGGCACAATCTAAAAGAGGTATCCTGACATTGAAATATCCTATCGAGCATGGTATTGTTAGCAACTGGGATGATATGGAAAAGATCTAGCATCATACTTTCTACAATGAGCTCCGAGTTGCTCCCGAGGAGCACCCTGTGCTTCTCACCGAGGCACCTCTCAACCCCAAGGCCAATAGAGAAAAGATGACGCAGATTATGTTTGAGACCTTCAATGTACCCGCCATGTACGTTGCCATCCAGGCTGTTCTTTCTTTGTATGCTTTTTTTTTGATAAGATTTGAAGTTCTCTTTAAAAACCTCCTTCTTGATTAATGGAGCTTGTAAAGAAGCTTCTTAATCATGGGAAGGAGGAAAAGAGTGCCTTATAATTTCATTGAAGAAAATAAGAATTACAACCTTGGAAATAAAAATCCAAGTAGTACCCTTACAACAATTCTTGAGCCTTAAAACCGAACTATAGAAGTCAACAACATAATAATCAACCTATACCAGCCTTTGCTAGAGCATCGGCATCCATATTAGCTGTCCTTGCAATCCATCTAACAACCCCCCGACGGTTTTAAGACACTCAACAATATCTCTAACAATGAAACCATAAACAGCTGGACATGGGACAACCTTATTGATCCAGTCTACTGCAACTCTGCTATCACTCTCTATGATCAACCTATCTTTAACCCTCCCTAGGACAGAGGTAAAGAAAGAGATACCCCTTTGGATAGCTTTAAGTTCCTTCAATATTGGAGGTCCAGAACCATCCGGTTCCTGAAAAAACCAAGGATTGCACCAGAATGATCCCTCATAAGACCACCCAGCCCTGATTTTTCCCAATCACAACTAATTGCTGCATCCACATTCAACTTGATGAAACCTGTAGGGGGAGGTAACCAGGGGGTTATGGAAGACTTCAAGAAATTGTAGGACGAGTAAGAATCCCCTATAGAAGGATCAGAGATTAAGGAGTCCTTAGGAATAGAAACATCCTTATTCTTTGCTAAATACCAAGAGGCCAGCCTAACTCTTGTTAAGAAGAATAATTCAGTCTGATCGAGCTTCCCCCCTTCAAAAACTATGTAATTCCTGAATTTCCAGATTGTCCAAATAACAGCCCCAGGAATGAAAGTCCAAATTACCGAATTATATTTCAACTCATCCCAAGCAAGAAGAAATTTTTTTGCTTCTGCAGAAAACACAGAACTAAATCTCCAAAAATTTAGAAATTTATTCCACAAAGACCACGCAACCGAACAGGAGAAGAATAGATGCGAAGAAGATTCTTCAACCATTTTACAAAGAGGGCATAAGCCATCCTCAATACCTTGAACTCCTCTTTTAACCAATTCGGATTTAACTGCAATTTTTTGAAGCACAATTTGCCAAACCAATGTTTCAACTCTAGGGGGAACCAATCCTCTCCAAACAATCTTGTTCCAGAAATGAGACTCTTCTTAAATTGAAGCACAACTCTTAACACAAGAATCGACTGTATAAACCCCATCCCCACTGCCTTTCCAGATCAATCCATCGCTAGAATCAATAGATAGAGAGAAAGAAGAAATGATGCTCACCAAATTGCACCATTGTTCAAGCTCCCAATCGTTTAAATTTCTTCGAACTTTAACATCCCAAATCCAACCCGAAGAAAGAAATTCCCCAAACTCACAAAGTTTACCGAATTTATTAGTTGACAGTGAAAACAGTCTAGGAAATAGAATCTGAAATGGAAAATCAGCAGCCCAACTATCTTGCCAAAATCGAACATGCTTACCATTTCCGACATAAAACTTGCACAAACTACGGAACTTACAACCAAAAGAGTCTTGTTTGAAATGGTTATTAACCACTGATCTCCACAACCATGAGGATTGAGAAGGAATCTTGCTGTCAAACAATAGTCTAGAAGAGTCAATATTGTATTTGCTACAAATAAAATT